TTCTTTTCCCTCCAGCCAAAGTAAAATAAATTAATTGGCGTTTTATACTGTGGGCACAGCTGGCTGAAACATTCTGTGAGGAAGTAGATAGCACTGCAGAAAATGAGACTTACTTGGAATGTCAAAGCAAGGGCCAGAATAAAATCTATGAAGGTTGAGAAGAGTGATGCTGGGCTATGGGTATCCTTGGCTAGATTTACTAATCTCATAATTAGTGCAATCTGTGGCAGTATGGGACTTTCAAAATATAACAACCGAAACTGGGATTATTATAGTAATAATAATTACTAATTACTGAAGTTGCTATTTATTAGATGTCTACCATGGACCAAAGCAATGTGTTAGATTCTTTGTCTAAATGACTTCATGTAATCTTCATAACAATCTCCTGTGTTAGGTATTATTATTTCCATTTTACCCCGAAGAAAGAGGCTCTGGTAAGGAGGTGACTTTGCCAGTGTCTCTCAGGTAATCAGTGACTGTGAGAGGCCAGCAGTAACTGGTTTCTGATGCTATCGCAAAGGGCAGTGTGTAGGACTTTTTTTCTTTTTTTAAATCTTAAAAGGAGATACCTGACTGGCTGTCTCAGTAAACACTTTGTATATCCTTGTGAAGGTGCCTATGAAAGAGCTGCTGAGAAAGTTTTATGTCTTCTACTTCTTCATAGATCCCATTATGGCTGAGACTGACTGAAAAATCCACAGTGTTGAAAATGAGAACACTAAACTTCTTCCCTGAGACACTGATGCTGGCCAGTCCAACTTACTCAGAGATAAGATGAGACAAAAGCACATAGATGAATGAACAAAAGATTATCCTTTGGATTTTTAGTAACTTGTGCAGCTTATCAATGGGTCCAGTTTAGAGAATTCCTTATTCCTTTTCAGAAAAGCAGTTCACATGCCCTAAGTGGAAAATCAGGAACCAGAGTGATGGCTAGATAAGGCAGCTTTTCTCCTGAGTGGGGTAGGCGGGGGGTATAATGAGGCCATGTAGTTGACATTGGTACTGTATAGCTGAGCTGGCACAGAATACAGTTGAGTAATACCCTGACTATTCCCATTTCACAGATATATAATACTTCCACCACCCCTTTTTCACTATTTTTAAATTTCTGGATGTGACATACTAAGTGGCCTTGCAGTATAATGAGTTTCAATGTCCTCTTGACAATGGGATTAAAGCTTACTTTTTTTTTTTTTTAAAGATAGAAATCTTTGACTTGTACTAACAGTCCTAAATTATACATGGCAGCATCAGATTACCAAAGCATTGGCACACCTGGGAAGATTCACTATTTCTGTACCAGAACTCTTTCCTAAACAGCAAGAATATTTAAAAGAACTTTGTTTAAGTAGGCTTTGGCATAACGTTGCTGTTGTTTGGTGCTTTTCGGGTGACATTTCCCTAGAAAAATAGGCGAGTATTCCAGTGCCCCTTTCCCAACCTGCACTGAAAGTTTCAGAGAAAGATATAAACATGATGCATGCTATGTTGACAAAGTATGATGAGTTGCCTCTGACCACACAGATAACAGGAACATGTAGGTAAAACGTGGCTTTAGGAGACAGAATTGGGAACACCTAGGAGTGGATTTCTCCTTTCGATTTTAGCAGTAAAGTTTCATGGCCTTTATAGTGATAAATATTATCAAGATCCATTCAATTCTGCAAATCTCATGAATTCTCTAGAACATCCCCAACCCTCCATATTTAAGACAAGTTATGAAGTTGATAAAGTCCATATTAACCTTTTAAAGTCCTCTGTACTTTATTTCAAGGCTTGCTTTAAACAGCCTATCTTTAATATGCTATAGAACTAAACACTTCATCGTGGCAGCACTTTTCAGTAATGCAATTTTATATTCATACATGTATTGATTTAAATTATAGACATCCAGTATCCTTAATCCAAACATCTGAAATATGAAAGGCCCCAAAATCCAAGTCAATTTGAGTGTTGGCATGATGCTCAAATAAAATGCTCATTGGAGCACTTCAGATTTTGGATTAGGGAGGCTCAACTGCTAATTATGGCAATATGCTACTAACAAATATATTGCAGGTATTCTAAAATCTGAAACAATCTGAAATTCAAAACACTTCTGGTCTAAAGCATGTCAGATTAGGGATTCATAACCCCTATATATCTATCTCGCTCACCTTAATAAAGGAGGCCAGGGATATTGCATATTGCTATTCACTATTATATCTTTACAGCTTATTACAATACCTGGTAAATGATTAGAGTTCAGTAAAAATGTAATGAACAAATAAATTCCTGAGTGAATGAATGATGAACAATTACCTCAATCCTAATGTTTCCCGACTCTAAGCTGCCCAGAATCAGGTTATGTTATCCTCTCCTGAACTGACCCAATACACTGATTGTTGACATGCTGAGAAGGTATTAGTAATTTAGCAATGCCACAGTTAGGTTAATTTTCACTTGCCAGAGGAAGGAAGGAAAAGAGAAAAACAGAGAAAGAAGGGAGGGAAAGATAGAGGGAAGGAGGAGGGAGAACGACAGGGAGAAGGACAAAGAGAGAGATGAGGAGAAAGATGAGATGAGAAAGATGAGAGAGGAAAGAGGTCAGAGAAAAAGAATGAGAATGAATGAATGCCTAGTGTCTGATTAAGTAAGGGAATTAATGAATAAGATGGAATGAGAGGCATCAGTTGGAGAACTAGTAGTTTAAGAGATAGGCTCCTAAATTCATTTCAATGTTTAGTTAGTAAACAACCTATTTACAACAATGGAGCCTGGATATCATGTATGTCATTAATATAACACCATATCTAATTCTCTGTAGCAATGATTTGCTAACAGTCTATGAATAAGTTCCAATTTTCCATAAGGCCAGGCTATTTTCTGCTTTTTAAACTAAGGGGTTTTAGAATAAGGGTCTGTTCATCTGGTCCCTCCAAAATCAGTGTCTTTACTAAGTAAGTCAGCTATCTTCCACATCAGCACAGAGCCACTGTACCACTAAGTGGCTGAATGATCTTGGACAAATCACTTTATGATCTTGATTCTGACTCCCTAGTTGTAAGAACAGAAATATTTATATTGACCTTATTTAACAAGATGACTGTGAATCGAAGTGCGATATGTAAAGCCTAATGAATTATCATGTTAATTTTTTTTTTGAGAAGGAGTTTCATTCTTGTTGCCCAGGCTGGAGTGCAATGGCACAATCTCGGCTCACCACAACCTCCACCTCCCAGGTTCGAGCAGTTCTCCTGCTTCAGCCTCCTGAGTAGCTGGGATTACAGGCATGTACCACTGCGCCTGGCTAATTTTGTATTTTTAGTAGAGGTGGGGTTTCTCCATGTTGGTCAGGTTGGTGTCAAACTGCCAACCTCAGATGATCGCCTGCCGCAGTCTTCCAAAGGGCTGGGATTACAGGCATGAGCCACTGTACCTGGTCTATCATGTTAATTTTTAAATATTCGAGTTGAAATTATAATTTAATAACAGAAAACACTTGGGTGTTGCCTGCATCCTTAGGTATAAGTTCTTTAAAATAAAGAGACCTTGTTTACTTATCTGAGAGGGTTGTGGAAGGCTCAAATGAAATAATATCCATGAAAGTGCTTCACCTACCTACAACTATGATTGATATCCCAGAATAATTTTTCTACAAAAAATGCTCTTGTGCTCTAAATTGAAACAAAACATGCTTTCACCACAGAAATTCATGAGTAGTACATGGCAACATGCTTATTTCAGCATATTCTTACATCAACAATGTGAAATTACAAAAGAACTTGGACTTTGTAGAACATTATTATACCTTCTAAGTTGTAGCCATAAGTTCAGAAAATGGAATATGCAACGCTATCCTAAAAATATTTACATAAAGTTAATCATTGAAATCTTATGGACCAATTTCATTAACTAGTTCTGTAAGGCAAAAATACAATTTGAAAATAATGATGACTTGAAATACAAGTATGCAATCAGTTTCTTCAAAAATACATGTAAATTTAATTATCCCTGGAAGCTATCTTTTGAATTGGGCAAAAATATCCACAATGTGTCATAAATGCCATATTTCTGCTCACAGCAATGATTTAGTCATGCTGCTTGCCAGAGCTAAAACTCCTCACAAAGGCTAAGAGTACCCTCACAGCAGTCCAGTTACTCGTTATCTAGAATTCTGGATATAAAATCGTCCGCTTCCAAATATTTAGTGGGTTAAAGTATGGAAACACTGCAAAGAAGTGACAGAGACTCAAAATGTTTTTCTACCTCATACCACCTCCCTGTGTGACCTCCAAAATCGAGATCGTTATAAAATCACCATTTTAGCCCACCCAATAGGGCAGCTGTCTGAATCATCAATGTGGAAGATAAAATCATGGCCTAGAAAAGCAAGCACAGTGCAAAACAGGTCAGCACAGTAAACAGAATTCACACACACACACACACACACACACACACACACACACCCCACACTCTTGCTCATCAGATGGCCTTCAGCAAAAAATATACTTTAGAGACTGAAAATAGTCCCTTGAAACAACAACAGAAAACATTCTGTAAAACCATACTCTATGAATGTTTTAACTAATCTGAAAGAGCACATTTATTTTGCAATTACAAAGAGAGAAAGTTTATGAGAGGCAAAGACAGGACAACTTGTGACACTCTGCCACCTCCACCTATTTTCCAAAGCCTGTTGTAACTGTTTGCACCAATTCCATATTTTAAATGCCTGAAATAGCCCTTGGTCTCCTTCCAGGCTGTTAGCATATTCCTTTTATTGCCAGATTATTTCTTCCCTAAATATCTCTCCCGAAGATTTAGGGATGAGACTAAGAGGGTGGCAGCATAACTGAGAAAAGATGCTGTCAATGCCTCCCTCAACCAAATTTAGTGAGCTAGCAGAACCTTCGCGGGGCCTGTGGTCTGGACATGAGCCAGGAACAGAGGCCTCTGTATAAAGAGAACCTTAAAGCAGAGTCCAGTCTAGCTGGATTCTCAGGTAAACTTACAGCTCTCAATTTCCAAGGTGCAGTTTTGTTCATCCAGTGGGTACCTCCTTAGGTCCATCATGCAGGCGGCTGTGGTTGTGATTCTAGAAGACAAATAGCAGTGATGAGTGTTGATAGCAGGTCTAAGGCTGGAGCTGGAAATTTCAATCTAAGTATCAAAGAAGAGACTGTGATTTAGCCCAAGTGCTAATGAAAAAGACCGACGCAACTTTGGATAACCATATTACTTTATGAGTCTCACACTGATTCAGAAGATAGAGACTGGACTGAACCTGCATTTCCCAAAGTATGGTCCATTATTACTTGTACCAAAATAATCTGAGAGGGTTTCTTCCAAAGGCACTTCCCATGCCTCCAGAATGTCTTGAGGGGAGGTGGAGTGGTGCCAGGACTCTATTTTACAAGCATTACTGCTGACTGAGAATATGGGCAAAGAATATTCCTGTTTTTCTCACATTTATTTTCTTCTCCCTTTCACAAGATAGGAAAATGTAATCTATCAATCTTAGTTTTGATCCATCATTTTCACATTTCTATACATAGTACAGTATTTTGCCAGTACCTAAATATAACACACAGTCAGCCTTTTATTTATACCTAATTTGTTTGGTCCTGAGTAATCTGATGTTTTCATGATCCTCTAGATAGTATACTCCTATGGGATGGCACAGTTATTTATTTCAAACACTTAGTACCTTTATTATTTTATCAGGAACAAAATAAATACATTCCTTCAATTTGTCTGTATATTTCTGTCATTATTTTTTACTGATGTTTCTATGGAAGACCTTCTAGGAGCCAAAAAATTTAAACAGCTCTAAAAGAGTTATGGAGGTATGTTTTCTGGTCAATGAGGCAGCATAGGATCATGAAAGAACCCATGTTTGAAAACACACCCAATGCAGGTATGAGTTCCATTTTTTAGTAAAAACTCCAACAGAATACTTCGCACATAGTAGACCCTTTAAAAATTTACATGTGCCAAGGGAAACTAAAAGTTTTAGAAGTTAATGTTGAATTTGATCAACTTTAGCTTACTGCAGTGTCATGGGTACTATACTATGTGTTGGGAACAGAGAAGTAAGACATAGTTCCAGCTTGGGAGAAACTATCTAAAGCTGGACATTTTTATTTAAAAAGTCTTGGACAAAATCTGAAACCGTAACCCAGGTGGACTGAGCCTATGGAATTCCTGAATCAGGTGTGAGAGTCTCACTCCTCAGCTGCAGAATGGAGACATGTGATTAACTTGATGTAAATCATTCTTGGCTCTTTAGTTTGATTTCTGTTTCATTCAGATTTGTGCTCTGTTAGAAAAGTCTCCTAAGTTTACGTTTATCCCAATTCCTTCATTTATTTCACCTAATCCAATTTGCTATGCTGCATCGATTCCTTACCGTCACCACTGCCTCCCCTCTGAGTCTACATCCCCATTGCCTCACATCCAAGTCACTGCAGGACCTTGGTCTCCCAGCCTCTCTATTCACTGCTCCACCATGCATTATCCATACAACTGTCAGATCTTTTAAAAACATAAATTAGATCTTATCATTCCTCTGCTTAACATTGTCAATGGCTCTTCCAAGATGAGCCAGAGTCCTGGCTATGGCCTGCTCTATCTGGAATACTCTGGTCCTTTCCTTCCTTCCCAGTATCACCTCACTCCATGTCCTCAATCAATATCTTTTGGCCTTCTTACTTGTTCTCTCTGCCTAGAACATTTGTCTCCCTGATCTTTACAGAGCCCTTGCTTCTGATACTTCAGTTGTAAATAACCTTTTCTGAGAGGCTTTCCAAGAAACCCACCCAAAGTGGTTGCCTTAACTAATGCTCCACTCTTGTGTTTCTGTTTATTTCTTTCAAACCATCACTACAATCTGAAATTATTTTGCTTATTTATGGTTTATTTGTTTTTACAGACAGGTTCTTGCTCTGGTGTCCAGACTGGAGTGCAACGGCACAATCAGCTTACTGCAGCCTCAATCTCCTGGTCTCAAGCAATCCTCCCCCAGCAGCCTCCCAAAGTGCTAAGATTACAGGCATGAGCCATTGCACCCAGCCTTATTTATGTTTTATAAGAATTTGTCTTTCAGTAAAGTTTAAGCTGTTTAAAGGCACAGATTTTGTTCTATTCGCTGTTAGTGAACTTTATAAGTATCCATTGAATGAATAAATACATGAATTTATAAAGAGGCCAGGAGGTGGTTTTGCTAATTGTAAGTATTTCTATTAATATTTGGAGGATTATTTTATTACATTATTTCTCTTTTTTTTAACTTAAAATTAGAATGTGTCTCAGGTTGCAGAGGTTAGATATATGCATATATATATATATATATATATATATATATATGTATATATATATAGTATTTTTTTGAGATGGAGTCTTGCTCCCATCAGGCAGACCGGAGTGCAATGGCACAATCTCGGCTCACTGTTATCTCCACCTCCTGTGTTCAAGAGATTCTCCTTCCTCTGCCTCCCGAGTGGCTGGGATTACAGGTGTGTGCCACCACGCCAGCTAATTTTTGTATTTGTAGTAGAGATGGGGTTTCGACATGTTGGCTAGGCTGGTCTTGCACTCCTGACCTCAGGTGATCCACCCGTCTCAGCCTTCCAAAATGCTAGGATTACAGGCGTGAGCCACCGCTCCTGGCCTTTTTTTATATTTTTAACAATGACATATTTTAATCCATTTAATTAAGATTACATTAGTGGTAAGAGTTTATCTTATCAAATTGATTGTTTATGTTTTTAACTTAGAGTTAAAAACAAAAGGACGCAGGTTTGCCTTAGGTTTGCTCTATAACCTAAGACACAATCTAATTTTAGGTTAAATGGGATTTACCAAATTCCTATATTCTATAAATTCTATTAAAATTTACATTTGCATTTTATTGTTCACTCAAGGTTAAACAATTACAATTTATCTTGGCTATGTGACACTTGGCTAAATTTCTCACTGGTCCACAGATGTTTTTTGTTTTTTAGTTTGGTTTTACATATACACTCATTCTGAATTGCCAGTAACATACAGAGATCTTTACTATACAGAACTGACATTTTCAACAGAAGTAAAATTCGGTACAAATGGGCATCTTAAACGCCAAGCTATTTATGTAAAATGGCAGAAATAAACCTGTCTTGAGAAACTAGAGAAAATTAACCTCATCTTATAGAATGACTACAAAAGATATGAAAGTTACAGGGGCATATTTGCAATTAAAAAGAGAGAGAGCCAAGTATAAAAGGCTCGATTGTATTAATGAGTGAAGTTTGTAATTGCTACTATAGGTTGTGGCTTATACTTTCTGCTGATACATGTTCATGGCAACTAGCATCCATGAACTGGTGCAGCAAACACCAAGAAAAATAGATTGGCTAATGCTACTGCAGGAACAAAGAGTTCTACTCATGTTGTAAAAATAAAGTAGAAAAAAGTGTTTCCTCACAAACACATTTCTATTTAGTCCAGCATTTTACTGTTGTTTTAATGTTATAATACACTTCATAAAGCTAAAAGACATTTATAATGTCTTCTAGTCAGTATTTACAAAGGATTTGTAAGAGTAGACACTTACAAATCCTTTGTAAATATTTTGTAATTTTGTTTTACTCTTGGATTAGAACAGAAACTTTGGAGCCAAAATAATCCATTTGGAGTCCTGATCATATAGTCGAAAATGAGTAACAGACAAGTCATTTGTATTCTCTGACACTTAGTTGCCTCATCCTGAAATTTTCAGTGAAAATTTGCTAGTTTGCTGTGATATAACAAAAGTGGGAGATTTTTAACTCATAAAATGTTCCATAACTTTTGTTATAGTTATTACCACTTGCTAATCTGCAGATACAGTGATAACTCATTTTATCAGAAGTTATTTGGCAGTATGAGTACATGTTTATGTATATAAAGACATGTAGAATACCCACACATTTACATTATAAGTAAGGCAGAGATATCAAGGTGGATGTAAATAGCGTCCCAACACATAAATATGCAAAATAGATAATTACTCCCTACATATGTATGGAATTCTATGAAACAAAATATAGATGTACAACAAACTTGCATCTTTCCAGGTGGGTTATGAGATCAGAAGCCACATCTGTTCTGTCATACTTATATTTCAAGCCCCTTGATAAGTACCTGGTACATGCCACCAACCCCCCACCAAAATAATAATAATAATAATATAGCAAATATAACAATAAATAAAACAAAGGGAGGGATCAATTAACATAACCATTCTCAAACTGAGGATTTTGATGAAATTCTCTATATTTAGTAAGTGTCGTATTTAGCTCATGTAAAAACTCTCAAATATATTTGGAAGCTAAAATATAGAGGAAGCTACCCTGCAATTAATCTATTCCAAAAAGCTCAGGAATAAGCATCTAAATCTGTTCTTTGGGATCTTTTTGATTTATAACAGAGCTGTTTCTACAGGAAGAAGTCAATAAAATAAATACAGTTAATGAGCTTTTCATGAACATGTCTTTCTGAATCATGACAAACATCCTTAATGGACCTTAAATAACTCAGCACCACTACTAGGAGTCTTTGAAGTCAGGCTAGCACACCACTATGCAGGTATCCTGATTAATTTTTAAGACCACTGTGAGACAGCTCTGTCTTCGATCAAAGGACAGAGTCAATGATGCCTCAAGAATGTGTCTTATTTACCCATAATAAATCTACTATAGTTAAAAGTGGAAATGTGTCTTCTATGGGGTAAATTCTCTTGCATGATGAAGACCACCCTTGGGAAATGCTAATATTCTGACTGGACTAAGAGATGTTTGGATAAACTCTTTACTACTTAGCCATTGGGTAATATTATACAAAAATGACTTGTGTCATAAAATATTAACATAGAGCAAGAAAACAAATATACAGCACAGCCTAACAGTCACTCAAGCCATCTATGAAATCAAGAAATACAACAAGTAAGCCAGAATTTTGTACCAGACCCATAGTAAATGCTTTATAGTGTCATTACCTGAGACTTAATGATGGTATCATAGTATTCCAAGGTTTTTGTTTGTTTGTTTGAGACAGAGTTTTGCTCTTTCACCCAGG